GTTGACTTGGTTTCCCTGGGTGTGTGTTATGAATAAATCTTTTTTTGGTACCGGTACTGATTTTATTTGGTTTTATTTATCAGCAACACCTTAAAGGTCAGTCCCTGATAATATTGTCAGATATAAACCGGTCTGTAATGCGAAAAAAGGTTGGGTACCGCTGGAGTCGATGACTCGCACATGTGTTGGGCCAAGGCAGGAACCCATAACAAGTTCCACCCAGGCAGAGAGGCGTGGGAGAGCGAGAGAGAGAGAACAACAACAAAAACAATAGTCCAGCTGATGAACCCTGGGAAGGCATGCCTGACCATGACAGTACCACATCATCCCAAAAGAGCACAATGCTCTTCCCATATACTGCTGGCTTACTTGTGGCTCCTAGGATATTCAAAAGTTATATGAGAGGCAAAGCCTTAAACTCTCAGGCCCTTCTTCTGCAAAATCAGGACCAGTTTAGATTTGGGAGAGAGACCCCCCTTCTACTTTCAAGGTTAGGCTCAAAAGTCTCCATTTTTTATAAAGCTTATAGTTAGAGCTGGAACTACCACATCATCTTACCATAATTTAGGTACATACTGTGTATTTAAAGATTTAACCTCCTGGGACGCAAACTCTTTCATGGCATGCATTTTTAATTTCTCTTCGCTATTTGGGCTGATTGGGACCTGCTTAATGTAAAAACAAAGAATTACATGATTTTTTTTTATCTGAGTTTTGTTTTAGAGAAAAATGAGATCCATATATTTAGCTACACAGAGTTGCTCAGAGTACTTGTGTTAAACTAGCTAATCTACTCAGTCACTTTAACATAACTATTAACATTCACATCTCACAGAACTGATTTGATTGGAGCATTACAACACGTTTGCACAGAGCATAGGAGAGCACGGACTCTGCTTCACGAGCGCTCCACCTAACGAGCGGGCTCGCAGTGCGGCTGCGCGGAACACCCCTCTGGTTTCTCCCGTGTTTACATATAAATAACTCGGGCGGACTCTCTCATTCACATTTACGTAGGTAACCATGGTAACAATAAACAACATTTTCGGTGCGAGCACCATTTACCGACCTGTAAAAGCAGGTGAAGAGCAGAGTAAAGAAGACACGATGCATCTCTGCTTTCCTCCACAACGTATCTGAGGAAGCAGCGGAAGGTGGACTCCACTTACTGCACCCCGAAACCCCGGAGCAACCACCAAAGTTCCGCCCTCACTGCTTTCTAACATAAAATGAATCCCTGTTAC